CCCCAAAACCCCAAAACCCCAAAACCCCAAAACCCCAAAACCCCTCAATTAAAAATGGCAACAAAATTCAAGGATGCAAAAATAATTATGATTAAAGTGTAAAAATGTCTGAGTGGTTTAAATTGATTTGAATATTGTGCTCGGTTTGAATTAGGTTTTTAAGTAATCAAGATTTATTCAAATCAAGCAATCCAATTATTACATATAGGGCACTGGGATAAATATTATAATTTATTTTCAAATATCAAATATCTTAACATGGACAGAAGTAGAGATCGTGGTGGATATCAAGGTAGAGGTGATTACTAAGGCGGAAGAGGTGATGGCAGAGGCGACGGCAGAGGCTTCAGAGGTAGAGGAGACAACAGAGGTGGAGCTGATCGTGGTGGCTACCAAGGTGGTGGCGGAGGTAACTTCCCAGCAGGCCCTAAAATCTACGAGGGAAGAGTAGGCCAACCAACCAATCTACTTTCAAACCACTTCAAGGTCACATTGAGAAATATGTCTGGGAAAATATTCATTTACAAGCTTGGATTTACCCCTGAGCCAAAATTCGGTTTTGAAAAATCATCCTTGATTAAAAATGCTTCGACTGCTTTGAATTAAATCTACGGTATTCACTTTTCTTACAGTAGTGATCTCTTTGCTCTATCCCAAGTCAAGTAAAATTATTCTTTTCTAATGTAATAGTGAGGAGCAATATATCGTTTCTCAACTAAGAGGAGTCCAACATGAAATAACTATTCGTCTTGATGGAAGTTTTTCCCTAAATGAAAATTTAGAAGATCAAAAGTAACATGCTGGAAAAATTTTGAATTTTGTCAATGTGGCATTCAAAAAAACTCTTTATGAGCATAAATTTAAGCAAGTAGGACGCTTACCTAGATTTTTCTTGGCTTCTGAGCTAGTACCGATCGAAAAATACAGACTCTAGATGTGGCCTGGTTATATGATGCAAGCCAAGAGTCTCAATGATGGTATGTTCGTGAACATAGACTGTGCAACAAAATTTGTTGAGATGGACTCAGTTTATGATTATATTTTGGATCTACAAAAGGATAGATACTCTTAAGATGACATTAGAGCTGAGCTTGTACCAAAAGATCCAAACGAGAAAAGAATGGTTGTAATAACAATGTACAACTCGAAAATCTATCAACTTGATGATGTTAGATTTGACATTACTCCTAAAAACCACATATTTGAGTATGATCTCATTGATCCTTTAACAAGAGAGAAAACGAAATAGAAGACTAACATGATTCAGTACATGAGAAATAAGTACGGAATCACTATTAATGCTAGAGATGAAAATCAGCCAACTTTGGTTGTACACGAGAAAGATCATAGCATCTACTTAGTGCCATCATTATGCTTTAGAGCTAGTCTTGATAAAAACTTCACTAGTGATTCTAGAAAAATGAAAGATCTATAAGAATACAAGCTCAGTCATCCTGAACAGAGATTCACTAGAATAAACTCTTTAGCTGCTAAATTCTAAGCTGGACAGCTTCTTGATAGTTGGGGTCTAAAGATGAATGCTAACTTCGCTTAAGCAAAAGCTAAACAACTTCCAAATGCTAAAATTATCGACGATAGAAAGCAAGAATAAGACTGGTCTGCATACGAAACTAGAAGAGTAAAGCATTTACAACCATGCCATCTTAAATAAGAAACTTGGGCTCTAGTCTATGCTAACAGAGATTTTGATAATGCCAACACTTTGGTTGAAATGATGAAGAAAGCTTCTGGTGGATTCGGAATAAGAATTGAAGATCCATAATACGTTGAGGTCTAAAGAAACGATAGAGCTGATGAATATATAAAAGGAATAACTTCTGATATTGACCCCAAATACACATCCTTAGTAGTTGTTGTATTAGGAAAAAGATAAGATAAACCTAGAGTAAAATCTTGCCTTGACAACATGGGTATTCCATCACAATTCATCTTATCTGAAACAGTTTTCAAGAAATCTAAAGCTCTTGGAGTTTTCAGTAATTTAATTAAGCAAATGAATGCAAAACTAAGACAAGATTTGTATAATATTGCATTGCCATGTTTCAAGAAAACAATGATAATTGGTACAGATATTGTTAACACTGGTGGAAACACAATTCTTGGATTATCTGCTTCATAAAATTCAACTATCTCTTAATACTTCACAAAGATAGAAACTCATCCTCTGCCAAAGAGAGAGACATCAACTGCTGAAAGATTATCCAAAGATCAAAAGGAATAAATAGTAACAGAAAAAAGATGCTAAATTCTTTGCTAATTCGTTTGTGATGCTCTTAAAGGCTATTCATAAGCGAACAAGGGTCCATTGCCAGATCAAATCGTTATCTACAGAGATGGTATTGGTGGTCCAACTCTTTAAACCAAGTGTCAAACTTATGAAGTCCCAAGAGTCATTGAGGCAATCTAATCACAAACTGCAGGATACAACCCAGCAATTATCTACTGCTTCGTAGACAGAAATGTAACTCATAGACTATTTGGCAAGCCAAACGGAGAGGTAATGAACCCATCACCAGGTACTGTCTTGGATGTGGCCTTAGTCGAAAATCAAGGCGATAATACCTACGATTTCTTCATGATCCCTCATAAGGCTACAGTAGCTACAGCTCAACCAGTACACTACAAAGTCATTTATAATTCCTCGAACCTAAACAAGGATCAATTCGAGCTCACTACCTATCACTTGTGCTACAACTACGTAAACTTCTGTGGATCAATTAAGGTGCCTTCAGCCTGTATGTATGCCAAGAAGATCGCTGACTACTCAGCTGAGAATAAATGTAAGCCCAATGATAGACTTTCATCATATTTGCACTTTTTATGAGGCTTGCAAGTTAGCTCCTAGAGACTATAATCTAGGAAGCATAACTCTTCAAAGACATATCATTACTAATACTAAAACTACTAGTATGGTAATGCTTTATATTCTCTTTAAGGATTCAATTTTATTCTACATCACTATAATTATGTCCACACAAATTTGCATATCATTAAGCTCATGGGGTTTTGGGGTTTTGGGGTTTTGGGGTTTAAATAATCTTCAATAGATCGAATCTTAACT